ATATTTTATTATTAAAATATTATATTATAATTAATGTATATGTATTATTTAATTAATAAAATATATAAAATTAATTGTTGATTAGTAACAAATGACAGGAGCTTATATAAATTAGTAGCTCTTAATTACTTGGATAGATATTTACTTGAAGTTGATGCTCCTATGTTTATAAATTGAATTATTTTTCATTACACTAAATTTTTTCGGATAATTAACTTATTTTTTAATTAATTAAATATATCTCACACTCTTATCAAATATCTACCAAATAATCATAATATATATAATAATATAATATTTAATTGTATTCAAAGAATATAAAAACTAATTAAAATTTAATAATTTTGTGAAAGTTATCTGTTCTAACTCCTATGATTAAAAAATAAACACGAAATTTTAAATAAACTATATAAATAAAATTTATTATTCCAAATATAATCTATATAGTGATAAAATGATTGAGAAGACCAACAACCTTTTTTTTTTTTTTGAGACAAATTAGATTGAATTTTTAACCCGTTATGAATATTATAATTACGAAACTTAATTGTCATGAAATGCTCATTTTGTTCAAAAATATAATAAGCCGATTGAGATTTAATCTAACTTATTTATTGTAACTCTATTAACATATTAATGAATTAATTTTTTTATTTTTATTTAATCAAATATTATAAATCATATATCATCAACTCATAATATACAAATAAACTGACGAGTTTTATGTTTTTAATAAATTTAATAAAATATTACTTTTCTTCCCCTTAGAACTTGTTATATATAACTTTTTTTTACATAGCTAACACTCAAAAGATTGAGAAGCAAACTAGAAATGTTTTCAAGGGCTTGCATAATATGTATGTGAATTTGGTTTGCTTGGAACTCACATCACTCCCTTACATTTTAAAATTTTTGAAATCTCCCCATGTTGTTTATTCTCTCTCAACACTTCAATCTAAAATTTTGGATTTTGGATATAAATATATAAATGTGTATATATATATATATATATTATCCATTGAAGAATTTGGGGCCACTAGATCCATTCTGACCCATCAAATCTATTCTCATTTATTGAATGCTTGTGTGTAATATTCACTTTGTCTCTAATTTTTCCAGACAATTACTATCTTATACATAGTTATTTATTGAAATTCCAAATACGAATTGTGAAACTTGAAGTACAATTCATTATAAATAGTCTGGTTTACTGTAATTTTCTTATTATTAATTCTAGTTTATTAGTTTAATTCAATATAAAAGTTTTAAATCAAATTTAATAAATAATCTACTCTAGTATTTCTTTCTAATTAACTTTCAACTTAGAAGTCCAAACTTTTTTCTTATTTCCACATTGTCTGCTCAAGACAGCAGCCCAAACGCTTGGGCCAGATCTGGTTTGGTCATTATCAAATTGTATTGACGTGTTAGGCTTGGCCCGAACCCCGTGTACGGCGGGTCTATGACTCTGAACCCAACAAATCGACAGTTCGGCCCAATATAATCGGGTCGGGTCTCAATTACAGACTAACTGACTCTTTTCTTCTTTGTAAAATCCAAGTGTTCTCCCTTCTCGTGTTGTTTTCTTCACATAAGTTTCTTCCTTCTTATTAACAATTCCGTGTATCCACACAAATGAACTTTCGTTTAACGTAATCACAATCAGGTTAACCCCACAACTCTCCAGAATTTGTATGGTCTATAGTTCAGATCGGATCGGGCTTTACTTTTCATTTCTGGATTTGTTCATTTTCTTTTCTTTTTTTTTTTTTGAATTCTGCATGATTGTAGATGTACTTGTAGTTATGGTTTTTGATTCTGAGAGGTGATGTTGGGTATGTGTAGTTGAAATAGACAAGTAAGACGATAGATGGAGTGGACCACGGTGCAGCATCTGGATCTGCGAAATGTGGGTCGGGGCATCAACAAACCCTTGCAGCCTCACGCCGTGGCATTTCACAATTCTCAGGCACTCATTGCCGCCGCCGTCGGTACCCACATCATCGGTATATGACATTAACCATATCATTACTTTTTGTCTGAAAATTAATTTCAATTTTATAATTGTCATCATATTCAATTTAGTGTTACTTTTTGGTCTCCTGGTTAACGAGCTGCATTAACTAAGTAAGCTGTTTCAGTGTTTAATGTTGAATTGGCTTCTGTTTCTGGATGCAGAATTTGATGCATTGACGGGCAGCAAGATTGCTTCTATTGACATTGGTACGCCGGTTGTTCGAATGGCGTACAGTCCTACAAGTAGCCATGCCGTGATTACTATTGTTGAGGTTGGTCCCTGAAAACAGCCTCTACAGTTTGTGCTATATGATCTTTGTTTCATTTCTTAATATTCTAAACTCATTGATCCACTGTTTTCTTTCATTTAGTTAATGTGCCTAGGATTTCTTGCCTATATATGACTCTCTGTAGGAGAATAACAATTACCGGAGAGACTAAGAACACCTTTTTACTTTGTTTTTGGTTTAAAACCTTTTTTTTTGTTATTCAATTTCTAATTCTTAATAATTGAATAAACTTCACTCATATTCTAAATTCTACAACCGTAATTTGTACTTCAATCTGTTTAGGAAGAAATTACAAAAAATCTAAATATGCGTAACTTGGAATTGAAATATTATTTTAATTAACTTTTTAATGTTTATATAGAATTAAAACGTGTGCAAAAATCAACTTTATCGTTTTTTTTTTCTAACCAACAGATGGAATAATCTAATAAGGTGCTGTCTATATGGTTGATGTTATGCTTGATTTTACTATTTTTGCATTTCTACAGCGACTTTCTTCCCAGTAAGTAAGGAAACTGTTAATCTGATTCCTAATAAATTGATGTTAACAACATTGTGATAAAAGTAGTATCTAGGCAAATCAATAAGACAGAATTTTTATTCCTCGAGAAATGGCAAATTGCACTAGATGTTTGAGTTTTTAGTATTTGTGTCCCTCAACTTAGTTTAGCCCCTTAGCTAAAGTCATATGATTTTCATTTTGTATCCCTACGGAATAACAAAAAACAACATAACAAGTTGTTATTATTAAAAACACAAAAAAAGGAAAATATTTTTACTTGGCAAAGAAGAAGCAACAATGCAAGTGTAAAAGCTAAGGAGAAAGACTGCAGCACAAAACTTTAATGTTTACATAGATAGGTAGAGGAAAAGGGGGCTATCTTATCTTTTTCTTTTTGAAGTTTCTACAACAATATGATAACAGAATGACTAGACATGGACTGTAAAACTTCTTTATAATTATAACCAAATATCAAAGGGTCACTTTTAATTTACTCAAAGAACACTGCAATAGTTGTTCATAACTAGCACTCTTTTGAAACTGTATCATAAGATGAATATACATTGGTAAAAATATTCAAGTTTTCAGTTTGTTGTTTTAAAACTAAATACTGTTATAGACAATTGTTTGGAACCTAAAGTTTTTCTAGGTTATGATTTGACAACTTTTTCTAACTTTTTCCCTAGCCATCAGAGCTGAGAATTAGCAGGCTCATGAATACATTGCCACACCTTTGTTGTTCTTGCAGTCAATGCATATGGTGCTTATTTGTGGTTGTTTATTGTAGCTCAAGAAAATCCTCCACCTTATGGTTAGGTCAGCTATTATCCTGATGTTTGCTAACATTAGAAGAATGTGAATTGTAATTCAAAGCGGGAATGCCCTTTCATCACAGATCACACTGTTTGCCTTGATTGTGCAATAATTCTTTCTCCATTGAATTTAGTCATGATCTTGTTTGTTTCTCTCGCCTCATGTTTGACTTCCATTTTTTAATTTCTATTTCCCTATAATTTGTGAAAAATATTAGTTTATCTTATAATATATATATATATATATATATATATTAATTTTGCAGGATTGTACGATACGATCTTGTGATTTTGACACTGAGCAAACATGTGTTTTGCACTCTCCTGAGAAGAGGAGTGAACAAATTTCTCCCGATACGGAAGTCCATCTTGCATTAACACCTCTCCAGCCTGTTGTATTTTTTGGTTTCCACCGGAGGATGAGTGTAACAGGTGTTTCTTTGGCTTCCAGTAATTTTAATTCGGTTTCAGTTTGGATGTTGCTGTGTGTTTATATTGCAAGATCTAACTTCTACGATATTCTTCATGAAGTTGTTGGAACCGTGGAAGGTGGGAGGCCACCAACAAAAATAAAGACGGACTTGAAAAAACCAATTGTAAATCTTGCTTGTCATCCTCGACTTCCTGTCCTGGTAATATATATTATTTATTGAATTTTTTTTATTGCTGGCTGGGCTATAAATGTGTGGAATTCATCTTAGAACAATTTCGATAATCAAATCTGTTAAGAATAATTATCCTATCCAACATGATGATGTCAACGATTGCTTACTGGTCCATCCAAGTTTTTATCTGTTAATTAATCACAAATTATTTTATATATACTTTTCTTTCTATATACTTCTTTTGATGTACTTTAATGAACCTAATTATGCAATGACATTAGTGTTTTATCATAATGGTTTTAGAACGTAATTTTAGAAATGAGATGAAGAATGAATATAGCTTTCTAGGATTAGCTAAGAAAAGTGATATAATTCTTTGAAGATAAATTTTGATGTAAGAAAAATTAAGGGTAATTTGCTTGCTTTTGAATTTGAGGATAATATTATACTAACGAGTTCTTAAACATTACATCTAAGAAGTCTTAAGAACACATTTAAGAATTTGAGTTCATCAATCAACAAGAAAATTGAGAAATTCGTAAAGTATTTTATTGAATAATTGAAGTCTCCTTGAAAAGTCAGTATACAAAGATGTTTAAGTGCTTCCTAGGTAACAAAAAAGCTAATAATAATAGAGTTAGAAAATAATACTGCTAATACAAATAGGAAACTAAAATATTATTAAAAAATAAGATCCTAAAGTTACTAATACTGTAAAATGTTCAAGAGTAATTCCATTTGAAGTATCAAGAATTTGTGATTGGAGGATTGTAAGGCAACTATACGGATGGTGAACTTAAGTGAAATTGACTGGATGAGAGAATCAAATGGGATGTAGGCAGAGCATACCTGCATGACCAACGTGAGGGAGGCGGTCATGCTGGCGATCATGGTGTTCCCTCAGAGCAGAAAATTTCTGGTCATCTAGAGTAAATCGTTCGACGTTGTTTCTAAAGGGAAGAAGGCAAATGGAATAAGGTTGAGTGAAAATGGAAGGGGTTTTAAGGTCTCAATTACTTTTTGGGAGGATGAAGTTGAATGGTTTATGGGAGTTATGCATGAGTTTTACTAGCTAGAGGCGGAAAGTTTGTGGTCGAAATAAGGTAGGAAAGAGTGACAACTTATGGGTGGCCATGGAAGGTACTAGGTGAGGGAGGTTTCTGGTCATCACAGAGGAGAAAGGGGAGGCAGTGAGGTGTATTTTCATTCCAGTAGGTCCACAGGCTAATGGATCGTAGAGGATGATGGTGACGTTGTTTGAAGTGATGGGAGGAAATTTAAGGCACCGGGAAAGCCTATGGAGGCCGAAACAAGAATCTAGAAGCAATTGTATAGCTTGGAAGAAGGTCGCAAAATCTGCCAGTCTTGTTATCCTGTCCAAATTGCATAACACAATTAAAAGTGAGATGGAGGTGAGGAGAGAGATAAGCTTTGTCAATGTGGTGAAGGAAGGCACTCGACATGGGAGTCAAGTAGGGAAGACAATGCCTGATTTCAAATTGGGTTAGGTCAAATTTAAAATTTAAAATTCAAAATTTAGTTTTCCAATAAACGAATGGATGAGGCCTCATTTTGATTATGAATTGGGTGTTAATGAGCCTCGGTTTGGAGAGCCCAAAGTC